TGCCACCACCCTGGAGAGATTTCAGATGGGTCTGAGGATGATGGAATTGGGATGGGATGGGCAGGGGGATAGGATGAGGATGGGATGGGGTGGGATGGGATTGGGGTACCTGGAAGCCTCTCCAGTCCCACAAGGAGAGGGAAGGGAAGAAGCCCAGTGGCAGGAAAGGGAATGGACGCTTTGGCAAACTGACATGGTGGGAAGCTGGCTGGGCACCCTGAACACCAGATGCCAGAGAGAAGGTGCTCTGGACCAGAGGCTGTATCTCGAGCCAGGCAGCCGTGTCCTTTCTCCTTCCAGGAGTCCAAGGACATGTGGTTTTGCAGAGGTTTCTCCTCCCACAGAGCCAGCATGTCATGGCCCCAGGGAGCCACACGGTCCCTGCTGGAGGTCCCCACGATCCACAGCCATGTCTGCAGGAGGGTCTCTCACAAACCCTGATGTCAGGGAAAGGGTGGCCCTGGGAAGACCCCATCCCAGCCAAAAGCAGTTTTGTGTGGCCACAGGATCAAGCACTGGGGCCCGCAGGGACAGGGCACGTTTGCAAACACAACCCTAAATGTAAATCTGCTCTTCTTACCATGGTATTTATAATCCTTATTTAAAAATAACCCCAAATTCAGCTTCCCAGAGGACAGCAACTGAGCATCCCCCAGACCCCAGCTTGCGTGTGAAACTGTCCCAGTAATTTTGGGATCTCTGCAATATGTAATTCACAGCCCCGCTGGTTCTGCATGTGAGGCAGTGTTGCAAGCCGCCTGAGGCCCAGGCAAGCCCCATCCCCTGGGAGGAGGGGGACCTGCTGCAGCCCCCCCCCGGACACGCTGGTCCTCCCCAATTCCCATGGAGCCATGGCCCCTCTAGTGCATTTGGTGTTTGGCATCAGACCTCAGGTACCCGTCCAGGGGCAGTCCCATGCTGGGATGCAGAAGCTCAACATCTGCAGGTAAAGCTGGAGCAGGTGTGGGAAGAGCAGGAGGCATTTCTGGAGAGGCAGCCGGGTGATGGAGGGGAGCGGCTGGGAATGAAGGTCTCCATCAGGCGGCCAGACCCGAGCACGACAGCAGGAGAGCAGCTCGGCTCTCCAAAGTTCTGCAGAAGCAAAGCTTGGGATGGCTGGGAACAGAGGCATCGGCGGAGGAGAGACATGGGATGAAGATCCTGAGGCCCCTGGGAGAGCGCTGGAACTGCTCATCTCCCCCAGCCCGGAGGGGAAGGTCCTACCCAGAGCTCCTGTGCCCCTCGGGTTGTTCCCAGGCACTGGGAAGCGGAGCCACAGAGCAGTTCCTGCTTAGGAAAACATCATCGGCAAAGCAGAGCGCGTTCAGCACCCAGAAGCCTGACACCCCCTCACCCTCAGAGAGGGAAAAATGTTGAGGAAAAGGGAAAAAAAAAACCGGAATAGAGAGCAAGGCTGAGAGGGAGAAACCCTTCCTGGAGAGCCGCGATGGAGCCAGGGATCCCTCAGAGGGCTTTGCCATCACTCATTGCCCCGGGCAAGGGGCTCAGAGGGTGCAGAGGGGGCCCTGGAGGAGGAGGGGATAGATCTCTCCTTTCGGCTACAGAAGCGTGCAGAGTCACGCGTGTGGGGCTGAACACGCGTGCCAGCATGGGGGTGGGCACGGGAAGGGGGGGCAGGTCACACGGCTGGAGCCAGGGATCCCTCAGAGGGCTTTGCCATCACTCATTGCCCCGGGCAAGGGGCTCAGAGGGTGCAGAGGGGGCCCTGGAGGAGGAGGGGATAGATCTCTCCTTTCGGCTACAGAAGCGTGCAGAGTCACGCGTGTGGGGCTGAACACGCGTGCCAGCATGGGGGTGGGCACGGGAAGGGGGGGCAGGTCACACGGCGGCGCCCACGGGGACACGCACGTTAGCACAGGCGGGAGCACAGCGGGGGTGGGCAGCCACCCACGAGCATCCGTGGGTCTCTGGTGAGGGGGACTCTTCCACTCATCCTTCGGCTCCAGGGGGCTGCTGGGGGCTGGCAGCAAAAAACTGCTGGAGGAGGGCACACCCCATAGCATCCGGCTGCACTGGCCCCCACACCCGCCCCCGTTGCGCAGCATAGCCCCAGGGATGGCAAAGGAAGCCCCTTTTCATGTGAGAGAGGGATGGGGATGTGTTTTGGGGACCATCATATTCCCAGGGTACAGATCCCACATGTGCAATGCCCTCGCCCCAGGTCAGGGTGCCTGGCGTGCTATGCACACACGGTGGCTTGGCCAGGGTGGGTCTCGAGGCCACCTGCACTTGGGAACCATGGGCCTGTCCCCTCACCCATGGTTGGGAATTGGGTCCCCTGCCTTGCCACCAGGACGGCAGGGTCCCCTCTAGCAGCAGGAGGCTGGATGCGGGGATGCAAGGTGGGGATGAAGGTGGGTAATGGTGCAATTAATGGAAAAGCCATTAGACCTTTCTCCTCCTCCCCCTCTTCTTCCTCACTCTGCCACTTGCTGTCCTCCTCCACTTCCACCTCCTTTCTTCTCTCCCTCTCTCCGCTCCTCCTTCTCTCTCTCCTCTCAAAGATTTCTCCCTATTTTTGTCTGGTTAGAGCCTTTTCTTTTCCTTTTAACCCTTCCATGGCAGCCTGAAAGCAAACTCAATCCATCTCACCTGCCAAAGGCAATTCTACCCAGGCTGGCATTGGGAAACCCTTCTCCTGGGGCAGCAGAGGCTCCTTCTGCTGCAAAATCATCCAGAAATGGGACAAAAACTTAGAAGAAATCTGTGCCGGGGTGGTCAGAAGGTGGGAAGGTGCAAGGAGTCATGCAGATGGAGGAAGGGGTCCTGGCTGCCCCAGGGACGCCAGCAGCAAGGTGGGCTCAGAGAGATACAGCTCCCACAGGGACATGGACATTGTTACTCCACTTTTATTGCCCTTTTTGTGCTTTTTAAAAATGTTAAACACATCAGAGGGGTGGCTCAGCAGCAAAAAGCTGAGGAAGGGAGCAGTTCTTCCTTCTACTCTGAAAATACCCCCACTTTCTGTCCTGGCTTGGGCACCACAGGGAAACGACAGCCCAGGACACAGCCTTTCTGCTCCCCCTCTAGCTGTGCTTCTGGCCAAGCCACTCACCCCATGGCAGGATGGGACTTGCTCCCCTTGCAGCAGCAGAGCCTGTGAGGAGAGCCAGTGGGCAAAGTGGGGGTGTGCAGGGACTCCCCGGCACAGCCTTCCCTCCCCTGCAGAGCAATCCAGGCCAGCCCTCGGGGGGGAGCCCAGCTGATGGCAGGCCAGTTTGGGGACCTGGGGAACTGACCATGGTTTTGCTGGCTTCTCCTGACACACTTCTGCTCCATCTGCTGCCAACCAGCCCGACCTGCCCCAGTGTGTCCCCATACCGCAGCCCCCCCAGGCCCCGGAGGGATTCTGCTGTGGGAACCAGCAGAGCCTGTATTTTGGGGAGGGGGAAGCAGTTGCCAGGGAAACAGCATCCTCCTGCAAGATGGAAACCATGGTTTCCATGGAAACCCTTTTTGCCCCAATTATTCTACCACCGCTACATCCTTTAATTTGCCTTTAATATCTGCATTTTAGACTTCCCCCCAACCTGCAGCAGCCGGATGACCCCCGGGCAGCCCCTGGGGCCGGGTCCCCAGCAGGGCCCTGGTCCCCACAGGCGGGCAGAGGGTTTGGGAAGCAGTTGCTCCGGCAACAGAAACAGGGCGTTTCTGGCAGCGGTGGTCGCCATGGGGACGGGGATGCTGACGAAGGCTTGTGAGGCTGAGAAGACAAATTGCCCTCATCATTATCTGCGGGCTTGTCAATCAAACATATTCCCTTATTTACCTCGGTGAGGAGAGAGCCCCGGGAGCACACAGAGAGGGAGGGAGCAAGAGGAGAGCTGCTTGCCCCAAACTCTGCACCAGGGAGGGAGCATTTCCAGCCCCTCGGGATGGCCACCATCACCTGCAATCGCTTCACCGAGGAGTACCAGCTCTTTGAGGAACTGGGCAAGTAAGTTGGAGACAGGGCTGGGATGCTTGGAGCAGTGTGCTCTGGCTGGGGAAGAGCCTCAGCGGCACTGGAAATGGCCGGAGCCAGGGGAAAGGAGATGGGCACAGAGCAAATGCACCGGGGAGTGATGGGGGGAATTCGGGTTAGGATGGGGGCTGCCAGCCCCAGCCCTGCCTGCTCCATCCCTTCCCGAGTCCTGGTGGCTGCTGCTGAGGGCATGGCTGGGGGCTCGGGTCATCCCAGGGGGCTGGAGCTGGCTGGGGAAGGGGTGGCTGCTGCGCTCATGGAAAAGTCGCTCCTGAAAGAGGATGCTACCGGCTCCCCCGGGAACTTCTCCAGCTGGGAGGAGGGTCGGAACAGCTGAGGGGGAAAGCCGAAGCGACGGGCACCCCTGACATTTCTGTAGGGAATTTCTCTGTGCGGATTCACCAGGGTTTGGCTGCTCCTGCAGAGATCCAACCTGTCTGGCAGTCCTGGAGAATTCCGGGAGCATTTGGGCAGACCTGGGCTGCCTCCCATGCCTCCCTGTCCCAGCACAAGTGCCCCAGGGGTGAGCCACAGCCCTATCTGACCTGGCTTTCCTGCCAAAAATGGTTCAGCTTGGCAGGTCCAGGTGTCAGCGCTTGTGCCTGGGTTAGGGTGCGTATGTGTGTGTGTGTCTGCAAACAGAAATGCCCGGGCATGATGAGATGATCCTGGGGACACTGAGCACTCCAGGGGGGAGCGGGGGACTTGTCCTCCCAGCAGCAGTTCAGGTCCTCCGCGAGGGGCAGAGGGATGCTCCGTGTCTCACTGAGCGTGTGGCTCTAAAACGGGTGCAGAAGGAAGCAGGCATGTGCCTGTGTTTTGGTTTCTGTGCTTTTTTCTGGAGCTGGTTTGTAAATCTGGGGCGTGTGGCTGCATTCCCCTTGGAGCGGCTTGGCGGTACGGTGGTGGCGAGCTCCAGGTGCCTGTGCCGGGTGTCTGCTACCTGCACCCCAGATGGGCAGTGATGTCTAGCTGTGGATATGGACACTCACTCCAGCCCCACAGCCCCACCTTGCCTGGGCGCAGGGCAGCCTGCACCAAAATGTGCACCCACACGTGCGTGGGTGTGCAAAACGGAGGCAAGGAAGAATGGAGTGGGCAAAGATGGAGAAATTGAGAGGCTGAAACAGGGGAGGACTTTGTGCCAGGCTGAACGTTGCTAATACCCTCCGTCCAAACCGGGAGGGCCAGGTTGTTGCTACAAAGCGCAGTTCCTTGGAGGCGAGGGGACCTCTGGTCCCAGAATCTGCAAGTCCATCCCCTTGGCATCGGGGCAGCTGCAAGGGGCTGGGTGGGGAGTAGCAGGTGCAGGAGCAGATCCTTGCAGTAGGTACAGTCCCAACCAGTGCTGCGGATGGCAGGACTGGCACCCACCAGGGAGCTGGTGGTGGTGCCAAGGTGGGGTCTGGGACCTGTTTTTTTCCAGAGGTTTCTTGGCTTTTCTAGGCTCTGGGGCTCTGAGGTGGGCAGGGGTGGGCAGGACAGGCAGGGGCTGCTGGGTACCTGTGGGGAGGGTGCTGGGTACCTGTGGGGAGGCTGCTGGGCCCTGGCCGGGCAAACGCAGCTCTGGGGATGTGAAGGGGAGGTTGCAGGCCAGGTGCCATGAAGGAGGAGCAGGAGGGCTCCTGGAGGTGTCTGGGGTGCGAGGCTTTGCTAGGTGAGCACCAACACAGCTGGCTGAGCACCCAGAGCCAGGCGCTGCCCACATCGCCCAGCACCACAGTGCAAAACCACCTCCACAGATGCATTTTAACATGTTTACCAATAAAGAAGCAAAGCTGGTGCAGCGGCTTGCCAGACCCTGCGAACATCACACCTCAGCCGGCCCAGCCCATCTGACCTCCTGGGGTGATGCAGGGGCAGCATCCCCAGCTTGCAGTATCCCACAGTTGTCCCCTCCGCTGTGGGGGCGGCAGGTACCACTGCAGCACTCTGGAGCATTCCCCAGTTAGGGGATTCACTGGGCTGGTCAAGGTGCCGTGGAGCTGGTTGGGGATTTTCCACCGGGATGGTTTCCAGCACATGCTGGCACGTTCAAAAATCAGCAGTCTCCCATGGGGAAATTTCTGCTCCATGGGCTTAGAGAGGGAAACCAGGACGTAGCACTGCACCTCTGTTCTGCTGCAGCAGCTGCATGTTCCTCCCCTGGCGAGATGCTCCCAGTGCTGATCAGGGTGGGGGGTCCTGAAGCAGCACAGCTCTTGCCCACCCAGACCCCGAAGGGGACCAGCATCCTGCAGGGGCTCTGAGCAGAAAGGCTCCATCTTGAGTTTGCTGTCCCCAAGGGACTGGAATGGTCTGCTGGGGGGGACACAGAGTGTCCCAGAGCCAAGGTGGCAGGAGTGAGGTGCAGGGTGCCAGCACAGCACCTGCTGTGCTGCTTTGACTTCTCTTCAGCTGTCACCCGTCCTGACACCCAGATGCCATGCACCTAACAATAGCACCATGAAAAGGCTTCGTGGCGTACAGAGATGGGGACAGGGGGGGTCTGCAGAGCCTGCCCCATGGTGCATGAGCCCTTGGCACATCCCAGCACCTCCCAGGCATGGGGAGGGCATCTGTCCTGAGTGGGAGAGATGGAGCTGGGGAAAACCTGCTCCCATGACAGCACTGGCAAAGCTGAGCAAGTGAGGGGCTGCTCTGACCCCCCCCCCATGATGCTCGCAGGAGGGCACTGGGGTGAGGGCGGGGGGCAGCATGGAGGGGGATGGGGATCCTGCCCACGGCCTCCTGGAGTAGGACAAACATGAAGTGCAGTTCCATCGGTGCCTCCAAATCCGCCCCCGCAGCAGGTTCAGAGAGAGGCTGGAGACAATTACCGTGCCGAGCCGTACGATCAGCCCCTGCGCTCCCAGAGCTGCAGGAGAGGGGTTTTATTAAAAAGGAAAAAAAAATAATATATGGAGGAACAAAAAATCCCCAGCCCACACTCTTCTCTCTAGAAAGGAGATAAAATGCCTTGGAGGAGGAGGAGGTGTTGAAGAGAGGGAGGGCGGCAGCAGCGCAGCCGGGCGCTGGCAAGGAAGGTGTGAAAAAGGGAGAAGCGGAGCATCCTGGTGGCAGAGCCCCTGCTCGGGCTGAGGGAGGAGGCCATGGGGATGGGGCATGGGGATCACGCCTGGTCCAGAGGACCGAGGGACAGGGGCTGCAGGACTGGGACCCAGCAGTGCCAGGGCTTGGGGCTGGAGGATCAGGGCTGGCTGTCGGGCTGTGGGTCTGGTGTCACTCCGAAATGACAGCCATCAGGGGACACACATACACCCATGTCCCTACCCATCGCACTGTGGGTGATGTACTGTCCAGTGCTTAAACTAGGACATGCTGTTTCATCTGGGATGAATGCCCCATCTCTGAGCCAGGCAGAGATGGAGGCTCCTGGCTGTCACTGGGGATGGGGTCACCCCATCCCAAGAGCCAGCGCCCTGAGAGGGAAGGGAGCCATGGTGCTCCCCATGGCCAAACAGGACACGTCTCCTTCCAAAGGGGTTTCCTGCACCAAGATGGGGCTGAGCTTGCTGCCTGGCACCCTCTACACTGCTCTGGGAGCCCTCAGTGCAGGGGGGATGCCTGCGTTCATGGGGAAGGAGATGCTGGATATATACAGAGCCAAGGGGGGGATTTTTCACCCAGGATGGAAGATCCCACATGGGCTTGGGAAGCACAGGAGCAGCCTGGCATGAGGAGCAGAGCCCGGCTGTTGTGAAATGCCCAGCAAGGTCAAACACCAAACCCAGCCCATGCAGACCCCCTGAAGTACCCGACTGGGACTGGGTCAGGGCTATGGCAAGCGTGCTGTACTCCCAGGTGTACTGTATCTGCACCCAGCACCTTGTTTTCCCCTCACCCTCCGGGCTCACATGATCTCGCTTGTGCTTCACGAAGCACAAACAGACATTTGGTTTCTGTTAAAAAGGTCTGGAGGAGCCAAAAGCCACAAATGCAGATGGAGGTGTGAAACCCTGTGCTCTGCTGGTGCAATGCATCCCATCCCTGGCCACTGCATCCTGCTTCCCACCGCTTCCCTTCTCCGCTGTTCGGTTTAGCTTGAATAAATGGATGAGTGAGCAGCTGTGGGCACTGGGACCAGAAGCGATCAGGGGTCCTCAGCCTGCAGAGGGTCCAGGACACCCACGTCCCTCCAGCCCCACCTCAGGTCCTGCAGCAAAACCCTGCGGCTTGGGTAGAAACCCTGTACTGGGGTGGGGGGCATGGGGGCTTCTCTGCCTGCCACACTCACTGCTGAAGGCTTTCCTGGCACTGCAAAAGCAGCATAAGTGAATTCAGAAAAAAAAAGATAGGAAAGATGGGTGACAGGGGCTCACAGGGCCCCCCAAACCCCAGCAGTGCAGGGTTCCTGACAGGATGGGGAGAGCAGTACCATGGGGCTGACAATGGTTCTGGTCTCTTCCACCCACATCAAGCTGGATATGAAGCATTTCTCCCCCCCTTTCCAATTAATTCCCCCCAAACTGCAGGGCTGTCAATAGCTGGGCTCTTCCAGCAGCCAGGATGAGACGGCAGGACGGGGAGGCTGGGAAGCACAGGGATGCTGTTCCCTGGCTCCTGCCCGGCACGTGCCGTGAACGATGCTCTGCGTGGCGGTGCTGGGCACGTGGGATGCCAGCACTGCCGGGGCTCCAGCCCCATCCCTCCGCACCCCGCCGCTCGCCTGTTCTCCTAAAGATCACATTCAAACCCAAATTGCCTGTCTCCACCCGCCCCCACTGGTAAAATCAATTGCCAGCCTGCGGCCTTTTATTCCTCGGCAGGGAGCGGGAGCGGGGCGTCGGGGAGCGGGGGGAAGGTGGGGCGGGAGGTGGGATTGCTTTTGATAGTTGTTATTTTAGCGATTGGAAGGGTTTGGCAGGAAAGGGAACCTGGTACAAAGGTTGAGCTCAGCAGGGCTGGAGCCCGTGTGTGTGTGTGTGTGCGCGCGTGCACAATGCTGCAGCTCAGTGCAATGAGCTGGCAGGGCTCAGCTCGCAGGGGCTTCTTTGGAGCATCCCATGCCAGGTCACAGGAGACCCCTGCATGTTGATTCACAATCAGTGAATGCAATCCACAACATCATCAGTCCCCGTCTTGCTTGGCTCCAGTGGTCCTTGCTCACGGGGTCCCCTGGGCTGTCCCTGCTCATGCCACAGGTTTGCAGCTGGGGGAAAACCTTGCATCACTCACCTGGACCCATGGCTGGTGCTTGCACCTGATTCTGCAAAGTGCTGCTGTGATGGCAAGGTTGAGAGCAAGTAAAGACATGGACAAAAGTGATGTGGCTGAGTGCTGCGTGGCAACTGCAGCCATCCCAGTGTCCCCTGGGAGCCAATACCCCTGGGAAATCTTAGGCAGGGCAGAGCCTGGGAGGGAGCAGAGGAAAGGTGCCTGATGCCAGGGGTGTCCAGGAGAGCACAGAGAGGTATATCCTGCATTCAGCCCCAGGTCTACCTGTGCCTGCCCCCATCGTCTCCCTCCTCCAAGGGCTCTGTTTTCTCCAAGCCCCTTCCCCAGCCCACACCCATCCCCACCTCCGTTCCCATCCCCATCCCCATGCCTGTGGCTGCTCCTCACCCCACAGGCATATTGGGGCTGAGCCATGCCCTTGCCCACCCCGAGCCTTTCACCGAGCCCTCCGGCTTCTTGTCTTCCCAGGGGTGCTTTCTCCATCGTTCGGAGATGTGTGAAGGTGTTGGCAGGACAAGAGTATGCAGCCAAGATCATCAACACCAAGAAGCTGTCTGCTCGAGGTAGGTGCTGGCGGCATTTTTGGGGAGGCGAGAGGTGAGCAGTGTTTGCAGAATGGGGAACTTGTCCCCCCTGCATGGCGCTGGGATGTTGCCTTTGATGTGCAATGAGGCGGTGTTTGATGTGCAGTGGGGAAACTCCTCATCCTGCCCCATCTCCACTGTGCCCACACTGAGCTCCTTGATGGATGGGGTGAAGGCCCCAAGGACACATCTTGGTGGCTGCTCACCACATCCCATCCCATCATGGGGGTACACCCACAGCCAGACTGTGCCACAGCGGGCTCCTGGACCCCATTTCTCTCACTGAGATCTCTCCACTGCCTTGCACTCAGTGTCATGGCAAAATGATGGCTACAGCCTTGCAAGTCAAACTGTTGCCAGCCTCTGCACTGGTTAGCACAGTAATTTTGGGAGCATCACCTCCCTGAGAGGCGCCTGCTGACTTCCTCATCCCCGCTCGCAGGGGCTGCAGGTTTCCGTACTCAGGTACCTACATCAGTGAAATGGGAAGGTCCTTCGGGTGGGGATTGATTTTGCTTCTCTCTGGAGAAGGGCTCTCACCCCTTACTGCTGTCTAATTAATCGCTCTGATGGAGCATGCTGAGGACTTTGGTGCTGGAAGAGACACTGATGGCTCTGTCCTGGCTGCTCCTTGGGGCACAGCCGGCACAGAAAAGCTTCAGCCAGATCTTGTCCCGAGGCAGGGACCTCTCTGCCTCCAGGCATCTGGCAGAGGAGCTGCGATGAGGAGGACACAAAGGATGAGACAGCAGTTGCCGTGTCCCCACTCCCGCTCCTCCTGGCTGGGTGCACTGGGAATGCAGGTTGGGTGCTGGGAGCGAGTGCCCTGCCGGGAGGGTTTAATTAACTCCCTCCCTCGGTTTCTCTCCCTGACGCCACTGCTTACCTCTGAAGGCAAAAATGTCACACAGAAAACAGTGACAAACTCCTTTCTGACCTCAAATTAAACCAGTGCTTTGCAATCTCCCTCCTGCAGCACTGCCAAAGCGGCACAGCACTGATGTTGAGAACCCTGGCTGCCCCCCAGCACCAGCTCCTGCCCCTCTTTGGGGAGGTGGACCACCCCCTTCCTCCAAGGCAGAAGGCTCCTATCCGGGGCAGCGGGCCAGGCTCTGGGCAGGGGTGGGTGCTGGTCTCGGCTCTCAGCTCCTGCCCGCGCACCCCAGCTGGCAGCAGGGTGGGCAGCGAACGCCTCCTGCTTTTCAGGGCTGCCTGAAGGAGCAGATTGAGCTTCCTTCCCTCTGCTCCCTCCTGCCTCCACTCGTCTGCTCCGGCAGTTTGCCCTTCTCCATCCTCTTGCGCTGTCCCTGCAGTGGCTCTGTGTCTTGTCTGTTCCCTGGAGAGATCCCGCTGAGGTTATTTTTCCTGCTTTCCCAGCTGAAATCACCACCTGCTTTTGCTAACAGGCTTGAAAACCCCATTTCTGCATTGCTGGCATGAGGAATGGTGCTTCCACGGGCTGGGAGCAATCCCCAAAGGGACTCATCCCCTCAGGAATGTGCCAGCGGCTGTGTAATATGCAAAGGGCAGAAGGGAAGGTGTGCAGGGAGGAGAAGGGTAGGGCGAAGGTGAGCGAAGCTGTGAAACATCCCTATGATCTCTTCAGACATCCTCCTGGTTGCTAACATGGGGAGCCAGCAGGAGAGGAACCAGAGTTTTTAGAGGAGAAATGGGTTCTGAGTGCATGCAGCATCTGGATCTGTGGGGCAGGAGAGGGGCTGTGCCCATGACTTGCTGCCCGCAGCAGCACTTCACTGTGTGGTGGACGTGCCATGCCATGCAGGCAGATGATGCTCCAACACACAGCAGCCATCCCCCAAGCTCAGCAGGGTCCCTCTGCCTGAGGGACATCCCCTGTCCTTCTGTCTCTCTGCCCCACTTGCTCTGGCAGAGCTGTCCTGCACACATGCAAAACCCCTGAGAGCCATGTCCTGGAGGTTTGTGTGACCAGAGGGGCCCCCTGCCAGCCTGCGGCCCTGCACAGGAGCTGTAACTGCACAGTGCTTGGAGGAAACCACAGATCCAGAGACCCTGCTGCGCATTGCCAGAGCTCTGCCCGAGTGGGACCCACGCAGCCTTGGAAGAACCTGGGGTCCCCAGCTCTCACCTTGTGGGGATAAGCACCTTTCACAGCAGCTCCTGGGTGCCACTAGGTCTCCAGTCCTGTCCCCTTCTTCTTTGGAGGGATCCTCATCTAAACTCAAGGATCCATTTTCCATTTCGCCTAATTTTCACTGGTCTCCCACTCCCTCTCGATGCCGTTTGCCTCCCGGTGCTCCCCACTAAGCTGCCTGTGCCAGGCTTTGCCTTTGCAGGCATTTCGGTGGCGACAGATTGTGAGGGTACATAGAGGTGGGCAGCGGCTGGAGGTGCTGCACGGCGCTGCTGCTGCCGCGGCTCAGCCGGGGAGCTGGAGCCGAACTCGGTGGCTCGTGGCTGGGAAAGAGATGGGGCAACCATTGGCTCAGATAGACAGGATCCACTCCGTACTTGGGGTCACATTTGCCTCCCTTTCCTGTGATCTCTGGCTTCTTCTGAACATGCAGTGGAGCTTTACTGGACACCAGCAATGCTGGGCTTCCCCATGGGCCATTTGGCCCCAGCCTGCAGATGGGGAAACTGAGGCAGACAGTGATGCCACACAGGTCACATTGTCCCTCCATCATGTCACTGTCCTCCACCCCACAGTGGATTTCGGTTGAGGAAAGCAGCAGCCTAAACCTCTCCCTGTCACCCTGTTACACCCTGGAGAGTTTGTCCCCCAACAGGGTAACACTGTGGGAAGCTGAATGAGGCCACTGAGGCTGCCCCAGCCTTTGGCTTGCAGATCCCAATACAGGCTGCAAAACTCACCCCGTGGCCTGGGATGTTGAGCCCTGGGGCAGGGGCTGTGTCGCCTTCATGTCTCAGGGGTTGGAGACACCCAGGTTTGCTTCAATGCAGAGTGAGACTCTGAGGTGTGAACATGCAAGGTAGCAGCGATAGCGCTGAGAGACGAGCAGCCCTAATTATATCCTTCCTTCTCCCGGCTGCTCGCTTCCTGCTCACACAAAATGCCTCCAGACAAGTCACCTCCACTCAGGGTGGCTGGGTCAGGTGCAAAGGCAGGGAAAAAGAAACAAAATTATTTGCAAATTCACACTGGGCTGCCTGAGGGTGAAGGCTTTTCTGCCTCAGCTCAACTCATTTTACCCAGAGCTGCATTGTCGTGTACCCCTGAGCCTGGCAAAAGCTGAGGAGAGGGATCTATGCTGCCCATTTGGAAATGGGCACTGGAGCAAAGCAAATTTTCAGAGCCAGGGTTTTGCGATACAGCAGAGCAAAGACCCAATGTGAAACATCTGGGGATGGAAAGGGGGAGCAGAGCAGACAGCCCCATTTCAGCTTGACATCTCTTGGCTCCATCTTTTATTGTTAAAATTGCACTATTTGGGGCCAGAAACGTCCTTGCTGATTGCCTGTGCTTGGCTGAGTAAGAGAAAACCGAGCAGGTGCTGCTGGCAGTGAGAATTCAGGCAGCCCCAAGGTTTTTGGGAGGTGATTCTGTGAGGGCTTATTCACCAAAAAGGGAAAGAGGAGGGTAAGAGGCCATCTAAAGCCCAGGACTGCCCATGGTATCGGTGACTGGGGGCTTGGCTGGGGACTACATCTGTGCAGGAATACCGTCCATCAGGCCCTAATGCTGAACATGTTCCCAAATCCCTTATTCTTTAGCAAAAAGAGAAAAAAAAAAAAAGAGTTTGCTCCTTGCCAGCTGCTCCATCCCCCCCAGGTTTCCCATGCAGCTCCTGCGAGAGAGCACGGCAGGAATTGAGTGTGGTTTATTCCCTTCTCCAGACCTTAATTTAGGACCATTTCCTCTTTCAGATCACCAGAAGCTGGAACGAGAAGCCCGGATCTGCCGCCTCCTGAAGCACCCCAACATTGGTAAGTGCTGCTCCCTGCTGTGTGCCTGGACCTGGCCATGTCCCATGCCCGGCTCTGCTGCCCTCCCGTGCCCTCAGTGGAGCTGGAGTGTCTCCGTCAATGATTCAGCCCTGCCCGTGGCAGCATGGGCTGTTTGTGCTACCCTCGTGCTCCATCCACCATCCCGGAGATGGAGAAGGGGCTCGGTGGCCATCTGCCCTTGTCCCTCCTCTTCCTCACAGGAGGCAGCATCTTCAAAGGGGTTTATGGGAAGAAAGGCCTCCATGATGCACGGGGGGATTGAAGTAGGTCCTCCCTAACCCACTTGGCCATAGCTCCCCCAGGGAGAAGTGGGGCCCCGGTAGGCTGCAAGGGACTATTTTTACTCCTCTCCCCCCCTCCTCGAGTGCTGTATTCCTCTGCATGCTCCAAAAAGCGGCTGCAGCTCGGAGCAGCAGCAGCAGCGCGGGGCGTGTAGGAGGAGCGATAGCGGGGGGAAGCGAAGACTTTCCCACCGACCGTCCATCTGAGAGTAGCCTCCTTCGGAAAAGCTGTTGCAGGAAAACTCCTGAGCCCCTGCAAAAGACAAAAATAGGCCAGAAGGAGAGAGAGAGAGAGAGGGGAGGGGAAAAAACTGCAGTAAAAAAAGTCCAAATCCCAGCCTTCAGAGTGTTTCTGATGCAGGCTGTCAGTCCCTGGGGATGGTCCAGCAGCAGGAGCACAGTGCCCGGTGCTGTGGCTCAGGGGATGAATGCCCTTTCCCTTTGGCTGCACTTCAGGATGCGCTGATCCTGGTGGGAACCTGCAGCTTTTGGGAAAGCACTTTGGGGTAGAACAGGAGCTCTGCAGCCCCCTCACCTCACAGCGGGCAGCTGGGAGGTTTCCCCTTTGGCTGAGCTCCTCCCTGGCCCCCTCGCTGCTCCTGGCCTCCTGGATCCATTCCCTCCCCAGGAACTGCTGCAGCAGATCCAGGGAGCCAGACCTGGGGCCACTGGGACCAGACACGTGGCTTCCAACCCATAAATATTTCAGCTCGGAAAAAGCCTGTCAGCTTCCATCTGTCTGAGGCACACAGTGGTGTGGCAGGTCGGCCCTGCACTGCCCTGCACAGACCCTGCAGGATCCAGCCACCATCCTTCCTCTGCCTCTGCTGCAGCAGCACCAGTGCCCTGCACAGGAGCTGCTGTGCGAGGTCCCGGCGGGGAGCCCAGCCTCCCCCGGTCAGAGCAGCTGCCAGGGCCTTCCCTCTGCACCAAAATACACGTGGGGATTGCTGAGACCTGAAGGAAATGCTCTGCAAAGGGTGTGAATAGCAAGAAATGCTAAAAACGGAGGAACACACCCCAAGAGGACTTGCAGAATGTTAGCTGAGCCATGCAGCCTTGGCTCCCAGCCTGGCACCAGCTTTTCCCTAATGTTGTCTTCTTCCCTTTCCCTCTATCACCTGCCTGTGGGGCTGGTGGGGTCTCTGGGGACAGAAACACCTCAGCCCCTCTGTGCCTTCTCCCCCATCCCTGCGCCACACCTTGCTGTTTGCTCGTGACCTGCAGTGATGGCAGGCTTCGAGCAACCCTGCTGCACCGGGCTGGAAGGGGTTAACAGCAGGAGAGCCTAACGAGCCCAATCTATTTACACCCAGGAGGCTCTTCTCCACCCCACATCCTCACCCCCCACTGCTTTTGCTGCCTGGAAACTTGGGCTCCAGCTTCCCTGCATGCAGCACAAGCCCTGATTGCCCACCCAGGAGCTGGAGCCCAGCCCTAACGAGAGGAAAAGGAGCCCGCCGGGGGCATGGAGAAGGCAGGAAACCTCTCTCCATCCCTCCTTGGAGAAGCACCCCAGCTGCCCAGGGGCATTGCTGCCCCTTCACTCGTTTCCTGCAGTGAGGTGGGTCCCTTGTCTCCCATGGGACTGCCATGCTGTACCTGTGAGCTCAGAGGAGCCAACCTGTGCTTTGCACAGTGCCTGCAGGAGACGCTTGCATAGAAAGCAATGCACGGGTGGTCAAGAGCAGGTCCAAGACCCTGCAGCACATCCATGGCACTGGGTGAAGTGTTAGGGAGAGCTGCCATTTCCCAGAGCTGCATGTCCTTGCAGGGAAGTCTTCCTTTATCAGGGAAGCACACAGTCCGGAGTTTTATCTCTGGGTACCCATCCCCTTCTGACTGAGTCCCGAAGCTGTGACCTGCTCCTGCCTTGGCTGTTGGCACTAAGCTGGAGTGATTTGGCCGGCATGACTCTTTCTGACTATGGTCAGTAACAGATACTTGTAGGATCAGGCCTCTAAATATAAAGTGGCTGGTCCTTATACCTTCTCAGCTCCTGGCAGCCACAGGCATTGGGACTTCCTCAAGCAGGACCAGACCATCTGCTTATACTTAAGCTGGTCCCATCCGCACTGAACTTGCCTAATCCCCGTTCGAACACTTCGGCTTCTGTGGGATCCCAGGCACAATATCCCCAATGCCTCGTGGGTGAGATAAAACAGGAGGAAATGTGTTTCTTCCAGCAGAGGAAAGCAGAAAAGCTGGGATTATGCATCAGAGAAAAAACAGTGAGCCAATATCTATTGCAGTGGAGAAGGATAACCAGGGACTAAGATGAGAAAATTGTGTCAATAGACGGGACCATGAGAGAGACCAAGAGGAAAGATGCCGTCTGGCTCAGCAAACCTCTACCTCTTGCCCTGGCCAGGGTGAGGTGATGCTGCTGGCCACTGCCCTTGGCAGGGGCTGGATCTGCCCCCTGAGTTCAGAGGGAGAGGTAGCACTAGCAAAGCAGCATTTGCTGGCCTGGGAGATAAGAGCAATGCAGGGCTGTGTCTGCACTTGATGCTGGGGCTTGTTATTGCCCCCCACTCAGACTCGAGTCTGGAGGATGTTTCCATACAGGGCTCAGTTGTTTTAGCTGCAATGAAATGGGCTAGGAGCAAAAATTCTCACAAAAACATTCACCTGAATGTTTCCTTTCCTCTCCCTGGTTTCCAAAGATGTTAAAATTGTATCATGCTGAAACCAGGTGAGCTGAGAGGAAAGGTTAAATATTTACAGCCTCAGGGGAAAATCAGAACAAAGTCTAAGGTGTGGGCCAGAGAGACTGGTCCAGTCTCTATTCATACACCCTACCAGTTTCTGTACTGGTCCCCTTGCTGCACATCCGCCTGCCAAGCTGTGAGCAGGGACCTAAGTGTCAATAACCAGAGCGCAGCTGCAGGGTGGGAGGTTGGCACCTGGATGTACCTGACAAAACATGCCTCAAGGGATGGCGAGGTGAGGTGCCAGCCCTGCTGGAGGAGATGAGGAGACAGGGAGAGTGCTTCCTCCACAGGAAACTCATCCCGTGATGATTCCTGGATGTCCCCGACCTGAGACCTCCCAGGCGGGAAGGGAAGGTCACAAGCAGAAAATTAAAAAAGCCCCATTGGTGCCAGGGCTGGCAGCCCAGCTAAGCTCTCCCTGATGGGGCAGAGGGCTGGGGACACCCGTGCTCAGTGCCCAAGATAGCCCAGCAGCTGCCCAGGACCTTGGCCAGGCACCAACCCCAGGCAGTCCCTGATTTGGACATGACCTTTGAGCCTTGCACTGCTGCCCCAGGCTGGGGCCATGGCTGGGGTCTGCCTCTCAGTGGGGACCCCCCCATCCAGGCAGCAGCAATAGCAGGAGGAATAGCCCCGCTTTGCCATTCCCCAGCTCCTGTTTGTGTCCAGAGGGGAGCAAAGGTGTTCCTGGAGGGCAGGGTGGGAGCCAGGTGTACCCCATAACCCTTCTCTCTCTGTCACAGTGAGGCTCCATGACAGTATCTCTGAAGAGGGCCACCACTACCTGATATTTGACCTGTGAGTAATGGTTAAATGCATCTCAATCCACCGGCAGCTGCATGTTTCCACCCTGGGGTGGAGCGCCCTGCACCCCTGCAGTCCCCCCAAGCTTATCCCCATCCTCCACCTCACCCAAGCCTTTCTTGGACAGGGCTTAAACCAAGGTTGGGTCCCCCAAGCCAGGCAGAGCTCTAGTTCCTGCCCTGCACTCCCACTGCTTCTCCCATGTGTGGTGCAGTGACATTTGGGGGGGATTTGCCAGGGCTGAGCGTGCTGTAAATCAATCCAGCTTCCTCGCATGCCGGGCTGAGGTGGCTGAGCGTGACTCTCTCTGTTTTCCCGCAGGGTCACCGGCGGGGAGCTGTTTGAGGACATTGTAGCCAGGGAGTACTACAGCGAAGCAGATGCCAGGTGAGCACTGACACAAAGCGGGACACGGAGAGGACAGCAGTTGTCCCCTTCTCCCACAGGCTGCTCCCTCTCAGGGTCTGACACATCTGGCTTTCTGCAGCACATGCTCTTTCCATGCTAGGAGGTGTTTTGCAGCCGCTCTGCAGCACATACTCATAAACCAGATGTGTAGTGAAAAGAAACCAAACCAGCTCTTTTTAACTCACTCGGCTTCTGTGCCAAGAAGTGCGTGTGTTACCGCCTTTTTCCATTTATTGATCGCAGGCTGGTCTCCCTTCAAACCAGTCATCACTCTCAGCGTCCTCCTTTCCCGGGCTGATGGCACAGCCCAAACCTGACCTCCCTGCAAAGTACTGGGAACAGCAGGGTTCTCTGGACTGGTGACATTGGGTTTCCCAGGCTGGGGACAGCAGGGTTCCCCAGGCTGACAGAGAGAGAGCTTAGCATCAGGCTGGTGCCCCAGGCAGAAGCGTGATAGCACGGACACCCTGCAGTTCCCACCCTTTCCCCTTGCAGCTGTGTTATAGCCATTTGCAAGCATTTCCCTGGCATTTGCCACTTGAAAGTGCTAAGGAGGAACAGTCAAGACGGACTGGATGGGAGAATGTGCTGGAGCTCTGCTCTCTCCCACACTTCCGCTGGCACTTTCTGGGTACCCTGCTGCAGAGGCAGGGGGCTGGGTACCATTTCAGCCACCCCTTTGGTCCTTGCAGCTTGGCCAGGTGACAGCATTGCCCTCATTTTATTGAGGGGACACGATCCGGCCCTCTCCAGTCTCCAGGTATCACTGTGTCTCTTGGCCTCGACCCCAGGATAAGCATAGCCCATACAAATGTCCACGAGGCTGGTAAGCTATACGCTACCTCTGTTTGCATGGAAATCTCACTTATTTCTAGGCAGAAAGCAACCTCATTTAATGGGCTGCCCGCACGGAATCCACTTACAACCCCTCCACTTATTAGTGTCATACAAATAAAATAAAATACATGTAAATAGAGGCGTTGTGCCTTGCACACAGCTGTTTTGGAGCAGAAGTGATCAGCGCCTCAGTCTTTTTCCCTTCCTTTCTCACGCACATAGCAGAGCAGGGTTTAATGAGCTAGATGTAAGTGAACAGATGCAGCCACAGCCACCCGCATTAGAGGAGGGCCGAAATGGGGCCGAAGTGAAGGTTAACTCTATGTCTGCAGAGCAGAGTCTGCTCTGCCTGGGTTTGGAGACCAAATCTGAGCTGGCATTGCAACCCCACCACTGGTCCCCAGCTCCCTGGTGTTTCTTATTTGGGGATCCCATGGGCTCCGCTGTAGCCTCCGTGCTCCCCCTCGCCATGGTTGGGTGTTCAAGCAGCTCTGGTGGGGTTGTACTGGATTACATCTGCTTAACATGGCTTCAGTGGAGGGGGGCTCTGAGCTGTGCTGCAGGGAAGCATGATGGGGAGAGGGCTAAAATGCAGCCAAGCAGAAGTGTCTAAGTAAACTCTGCCTTGCTGGACACTTGTGTGAGCTTTCTCCTCTCTCCCACAGCCACTGCATCCAGCAGATCCTGGAGGCCGTCCTGCACTGCCACCAGATGGGGGTGGTCCACCGGGATCTGAAGGTAGGAGCTGCAGGGGAAGGGTCTGTGAGAGGATGGGGGTACTCCATCTGCAATGCAAAACCCAGAGGAGAAGAGAGGGGGTAGGGATGTCCTTGTAGTTCATGGTCCTGTAAGGAACCATGGACATCGTGACACACAGCAAGATAAACTGCTCAGGGAGCGCATCCAGAGCCCTGACCTTCCTCTGTGCAGTTCTTGGAAGCCCCCCCCCCACAACAGCAGAGCCTCCAGGAGGGTTTCACTTCTCTCCAACCCCTTTCTCCTCCTGCAGCCTGAGAACCTGCTGCTGGCATCCAAGCTGAAGGGTGCTGCTGTCAAACTGGCTGACTTCGGCCTTGCCATCGAGGTGGAGGGGGACCAGCAAGCATGGTTTGGTGAGTAGGACTGGCCCGAAGTGGTGCATCCTCCAGCCCTTGTTGGTGTGTTTGGTTGGGGGGCTCCAGGAGGGACACACATCCTCAGGACCTGAACCCTGGACTATGGGATTGCCCCAGCAGCCCCACCCTGGGAGGCACGAATGGAGGAGGATGCAGGAGATGTAGATGAGGAGGAGTTCAATGGCTCCAACTGTGTCCCTGGAAACAGCCCGGTATTGATCCAGGGCATAGGCAAACAGCTCCACAGAGACTCTGAGTCACGGAGATGTCCTGGTGAGCTGGACAAGCTGGTGGCAGGGGCAGACGCAGGGAAGGAAAGCCTCGTCCAAGTGCTAGAGGTGCATGCCAGAGCACCCTGGCCTTCTGCACCATCCTGAGGTTTGGCTTCTGTCGCTGGGTGTTGCTGTCTGCTCTGCTTCTGGGAGACACAGAGGTCTTTGGGGGGGGGGCTGGTGCTGCCAGCTCAGTGTGTGCCAGGGCTCCTGGCTCTCATGATGGCCAGACATCAGGCCATCAGTGCAGGGTTGGGGGCTGCCCACGGACAGTGCGTGATGGGCTGTCTGTCTGTCCCAGGTTTTGCTGGCACGCCGGGATACCTCTCCCCCGAGGTGCTCCGGAAGGACCCCTATGGCAAAGCTGTGGACCTGTGGGCCTGTGGTAAGTCAGATCAGGGCCGAAATGCCAGGAGTGAGCTGGGCTTTGTGGGATGAGGTTGGCTGTTGATCCAGCATGTCCCACATCACTGTCACTAGACACATCTCAAGGAGGTCAGGGTGGAGGATTTACCCAAGAGGTGGCACATTACCCTGGGCTGTCCCCAGAGCAGCACCCTCTTTCTAGCCCAGTGGCACCCTTCTCTGAAGGATCAGCCCCCTTGCTATGCACCCGCAGCCCCAGACAGTGAGATGCTGGCTCTTTTGCCCTGTGGTGCCCTTGGAGCCAGGCAGTGCCTCCATGTAGCTGCAGCCAGAGCAGAGCCTTTTTCCACCTGCGATGAGTAGGAGGCATCACCCAGCCCTGATGGGGCACCTGGCTTGAGGCTGTGCGTGGTGGCTGCCAGAGCCATGTATCTCCCCAGCCTCAGCATGTCAGCATGGAGCTGGACCCACCAATGAGCCTTTTGCTTCTTAATAGGGGAGCAAATCCTTCCATTTCCCTAATATCCCAATTTCTCTGCTGGAGTTGGGCCAGTCCTCAGTCTGTTCATACCTCCAGCACTGATCCAGTCTCCCACTGATCTCATGTCTCCTCTCCTGGGCAGGCGTCATCCTCTACATCCTGCTGGTCGGGTACCCGCCCTTCTGGGATGAAGACCAGCACCGACTCTACCAGCAGATCAAGGCTGGGGCTTACGATGTGAGTGGGTTTGTCTTGCTCCCCCCTTTCACTGTCTCCTCTCTCTCTTGCTGTACCTGTGTTGCATTCTACTGCTCCAGAACAACTGGGACAAATTCAGACAGATGGCAGCAAGTTTCTTTCCTCTGCTCTTGTCACAGAGTGTTGGCCAAGCTGCTGTGCCTAGGGACACACACTGGCACTGTTCAGGTCCACTTTGCAGGGCAGATAGGTTTTGTCCTGAGCCTTCCGTCTTACTCTCTCTCCACTGCTGTCCAGTTTTCCAGCTGCCAGCTCTTTCCAGTTACTGCTGTCTCTCCAGCCTGACCCATGGGCAGGAGCAAAGGGTTGCAGGAGAACCAGCCCAAGTGCAAAGTAGCTTCTGCTCCCTGCCATCTCTCACCCCAGCCCCTTTGCTTTGGCAGTTCCCTTCCCCTGAGTGGGACACGGTCACTCCTGAGGCAAAAGATCTCATCAACAAGATGTTGACCATAAACCCATCCAAGCGCATCACAGCAGCAGAGGCTCTGAAGCACCCCTGGATATCGGTGAGTTTGGGGTTGAAGACCTAGAGACGTGAGGGTTCACAGCAGAGGAACATCTCACTGTGAAGTGTGTGTTATCAAACATGCTGTCTGACTCTTCTCCATCCCTGGGAAGATGGTTTCCTGGCATGGTTCCTCCCAATGCTCTCAGAGCAGACTCTTCCCCCGAGGCTTTACAGCAGGGAAAAGCCTGGAGTGTGAAAGCAAACAGCGTGTCCCAGGGGAGCTGGCAATAGGAGGGGCACACATGTTCCCAGCCCTGGTGGGGACAGGCTGGTTTCTTGGTGTGGTGCTGCGCTGGAGGAGCTGTTCCTCGGGGAGGGTGGGAGCACGCTCATGTTTATCCATCCATACACCCCAGCAGCAATTACCCCTGTTGCTGTTTCTTACCCTGAATCAGCTCCCAAAGGCAGGAGAAGGTCACAGATGAACACTGGGACCCCACAGTATGTGCAGACCCTGAGCACACTCTAAACGTGGCCGGTCTTCTGAGGGGTTAACTTTGAGGGCAGCCAGCTCTCCCTGCAACCCACCCACTGCCAGAGTAGATCCTGCTGACTCCAGGGCTGTGATCTCCTACTGCCTATTAAAGTTTTATCTGCTGCTGCTGCTGCAGGCAGCTCTGGCCCATGCCTTGACCACAGGAGACCACACACATGTGCACGTGTGTGAGAGTGGGGCCTGGGAGCCCCTTCTGAGTCAAGTCTCTCTCCCTCCAGCACCGTGCCACCGTGGCGTCATGCATGCACAGGCAGGAGACAGTGGATTGCCTGAAGAAGTTCAATGCCCGGAGGAAGCTGAAGGTAACTCTCATAGTCTCCAAACTGGCTGCAAAATGCATGATAAGGTCATTGGGAGGTTTGCTCCCTGAGTGGGAAAGGAGAGGGTGGTGTCTCTGGGTCAGCGGTATTGGGGTGATGGGCATTTGGGGATCATTGTGGTGAAGAAGGGAAGAGAGGCTGAGTGGGGTGGTGGCTGCATCTAGCTGGAGTTCCTGAGCACTTGGAGTAAAGTCGTGGTGAAGGAAAGCACTGAGTCACACAGCTGCCCTGACACTGGGACGGGGACGTTCCCACTGGAGACACTGTCATGAAAAGCTCCTCTCTGGGGCAAGACATGGATCTGAGAGGCACGGTGAGACCCCTTTGCCCGATGACCAAGCCATGCTGCAGCCAAGGAACCAAGTGATCCATAGACTGGCAAAAACCCCTGGCTCACCCACACTGACAGCCCCACAAGCTTTTGCTTCTCAGATGCTGCCATGGTGCTGAGAATGGGCTCTGGAAATCCAAATGCCTCCTCCAGAGCCAGAGACACAGGCTGAGATGACGCTGATCTGTACCGCAGTCACAGCCATCAGCGCTCCAGGCCTGAACACGATGTTGCACAGAGCAGTACAGCTGCGGGCTACTAACAAGATTATCAAGAAAAGCAACTAGCTATAAACTATTATTACTTTTCAGCTAGACAAGTAATCAAATTAGTTCAGGCATGCACTTCAAAATAGTACTCCATTACTGTAAGCAATTAGTCCAAAGTAATCTCATTATATGCCGAGCAACTAGTTAGTAAATCAGCTGGAATAGGGGAAACATTTTAATGAATGTTATTTTGCAGTAGTGATCTTTGTGTGGCTCCCATGAAAAATCCCTGCCCTGCTGCTCATGGCTGGCATGGCTTTAATTGCATTTAAATCCGGTTCTGCTCGCAGTGGCTCCCCTCGCCGCCAGCTGCCGGTCCTGGTCAGCGGAGTCATGCTACATCCAGGGCAGGGTAGAGTGAGACCAAAATGCACCCCAGGGATATTTAATACCCCTTTAATCTTGGAGGGAAAGCAGTTTCAGAGAATGCAACCCAACGCCCTGGCACTGGGCATATGGAATCGGGTACCAAGGACTGCTTTTGATGACCGGAGGACAATGTCGGCCCGTGGGCCAGTTTCCTTCCTGTGAGGTGGCGGAGGGACAGGTGACACTCATGGCTTTCCTCCCCCAGGGCTGGGGAGGCAGCAGGGGTGCAGGGGGCTGGGGCCCAGCACGCTTTTTCCTTCTGCCTTCTGTGTCTTTCAGGGAGCCATCCTCACCACCATGCTGGCCACCAGGAACTTCTCCGGTAGGTGCTGTCTCCGGGGCTCATCTCCTTGTCTGACAGGGTGCCCAGAGCAAACCCGTGGGGGTCTCTGGAGACCTGGCTTTGCCTCTGGTGTCACAAGGAGGCTGAGGTTGCAGTCTGGTGCCTCTGAGGATGTGTGGCATTGGGGGGTGGTCCAGGCCAGGCCATCTGGTACCTCCAGGCTGGCTGCTGCCTTAGGATGCAAAAGAAAAGGTGTCTGGTTGAGGCACAACAGTCCCCAGAGGTTCAGATTTTTGGGGGTTTGTATGAGTCCACCCATCTGGCTTGTGCCAGGGTGGGGATGCAAGTGCTGGAGGGGCAGCCAGGGCTCAAGGCAGCTGGTTCTGTGTCATCCTGGAGATGTTCATTCAGGGACAGCATCCTCTGCACCGGGAAAGTGTTGGAAGGGTCCCCAGGTGCCATTGCAGCCAGAAGACAGCAAGTCCCTTGAGTCTCTCCCCAGGCAAGAAGGTGCTGATCCTGCATCCTCACTCTCTTCCTACATCCCAAGGGCTGCATGGAGACACAGGAGCAGGGCTGGAGCACAGCAGCCCAGCCTGTGCACCAAGAGAGTTCTGGGTGCCCTTGCTGAGAGCTGTCCCCTCTGGAGACACCCTGCCGCCTCAGCAAGCCATGCAGCTGGAATTTCAGAGGCAGGGACCAGCGACTCCCGGTGATTCCCAGGCATGGGACCAAAAAGGAGCTCGGTTACTGCAGAGCATATCCGCTCGCTGTCACCTCTAGCTCTCCTCAGTGCTGGGGTGGCCCCAGCAGAGGTGGGACAAGTCAGCCAAGCCCAGCACACCAGCTGAGAGAGCTGATGGCAGCTGTTTGGTGTTAGATGGGAGTTTCAGGGTGCTTTGCCAAGGCACCCCAGGAGCTGTGTGTAGCACATAGGCAGGGGGAAGTTGGGGGCTGCTGGCCCAGGCAGGTGCTGAGGGAGAGGTCCACAGCCAGGGTTGGTATCTGCATTTGTCGTGGGGGGATCGTGCTGACACATTTAGCACTTGTGGGCAGTGTGTGGTGGGACTGGAGGAGTTCAACAGTTGGGGGGATCCAGTGTCAGGCCCCGCGCCGGGAGACACGGCCGACACTAAGCATCAAAGGGCAGGAAATTCGAAAGCATCTCTCGTAGCCCACGCACAGCCCAGGGGCTCATGGGTCCCCCGCTGCCTGGGAGCGCAGTGGGGCTGATGGGCAATGAGGTCCTGCATGGGGCTGAGCCCCTTCGATCTCACCCTGCTCCAGGGGTGCAGGGGGAGCAGGGTTGCTTGCAAAGCCCCGGGGGGCCGGGACAGTGCCGACAGCAATAGGTGGGCACCAGGGAAGGCGTCTGCTTTTCATCATTGTCAAAATGTGGGCTGCAGCTGTCGGGCCAGCAGGCCGGCAGCACATGATCCCGGCAGCATGGGGCTAAAATTAGAGGGCGGCAGGCGGGCAGTCCATTCCACCACCCTGCGTCGCACTCGGTCGCCAGCACCCTTGGCTGGAGCCCGTCTGCCGTCGGACAGCCCTGCAGACCCTTCTGAACCACCCTGAGGACTTGGCAGGACGTTAGGAGACGGGCCATGCCCCTCGCCCAGAGCCACCGGGGCAGGACAGGACGGTGCCAGCAGGGTCGCCCCTGAGCTCCCAGGGGTTTCTGAAGAGAAGACAAAACTCACCGGACAGTCCTGCGGATCCTGTTGCTTGGCACAATGCTGCTGATCCTCGGCCTCCTGGTCTTGGTGCCCTGCCTGGCTCTCCTAACCTCCTTCCTCCTCTCTCCAGGAGGCAAAAGCGGTGGCAACAAGAAGAATGACGGCGTGAAGGTAAGCTCCCTCCCCGCCACCTTCTCCTGCCTACCCCTCCTCTGCTAGGGTGGCAGAGGGGGTCTCCGTGCCGTGCTGGTGGTCCCTTTGACACCCTGCGCTTTAAAGGGCAGCTGTTGGCCCAGCTGCCCTGGTGTTTCCCCATGCCACCGCCTGGGCTCCTGCCAGGACAGGCGTTGCACAAGAGGCTTTGCTGGAGGAGTTTGCAGGGTGAATTTGCTGCTGTTTCAATGCCTGTGAAATGCGCTCACCCCTTGCAGTCCCCAGGGAGGGGGAGAGGCAGAGGCTGAACCAGGAGAGGGGTCAGGTCTGGCTGCATCTCCTGGCCCAGACATGCGTCCCGCTGTGGCTGGTGGGGCTGAGCTCCCCCCTCAGCTCTTGTCCCATCCCGTCCCCAGGGGCTGGTGTGCTGCTGGATGGCACATGGATGCCTTTAACCCTCTTGGCAGTGCTGCCAGGCCCCTGCATCCGGGGCAGACAGAGCAAGAAAACTTGGTGGTGCTTGGCAGAGCAAATGGCTCGGTGATGCTCTGAATACAAGCCAGTGTTTGGTGGACCTTGTTTCTTGGGCTGCAGAGCCCTCAGGTTTGCCTGTCCCTCTGAGTAGGGCCATGGCTCCTCTCCAGGGCAAGGTGGCTCCTGGAGGCAGCAAAATCCTGGTTCCGAGCAGCTGCTTCTGATGATATGGAGATGTGGTGGTCAGTGAACTTTGTCAAACTCCTCCTGCAGGAAGGAATGGCCCATGTGAGGGTCTTTCCTTGCCTGTTCCCTCCATGCATACAAGCGATCACTCAGCAAGGGAGAGCTGGTGTGATTACACTCCCCATCGCAGGGCAGGGGTGCTAAGTGTCAGGCAGAGCAATGGGAACCCGTCTGCGGTGTGGTTGCTCTCCTTCCTCTAGCCCTTTCATGGGGACCCAGCTGCTGGCCTGTGAGGGGTGCGGGGTTTAGGAAGAGCAGACCCTTCAGCTGGCTTCTTCCCTTTTCAGTCCAAATGGTCAGTGGAGCTAGAGGTCTAGGGATGGCTTGTTTTTCTCCCACTTTTCCAGACCCAGCAGATGGGACAAGGCAAGCTTGCAAGGCTTGAGACCACGCACAACCTTTGAAACCTGGACTCAGCTCCACAACAGACCATTCTGGCCATGCAGTGTTATTCTGCAACATGAAGCTGGTGGCCTGCATTGCTATGAGAGGACATTGCTTGGGGCTGTGGTGTCAGGATATCACGTGGCTTCCAGGACAGGATTGCTAGGTTTGGACAGCAGTGCTGTCACAGAGGAGACACGTCTCATGGGAGTCACAGCAACCCATCTGCCAGCCACTGCTGGCCTGTCCTCTGCTGTCCTGAGGTCTTGGCTTCTTCTGGGAGTCACCTGAGAAGTGACACCTCAGGTAGAGCTGACTTTGTGTGAGTTGCTGGAGCATAGGTGAGAACAATCAGGAGATGCATGTTTAAGCTGTAAAAGACATTGGAGGATGGAGAGGTTTCATCAGGCATGGTCCTGAATCTAATTTTCTAGCAGAAATGGAGAGCCTTGAATTTTGTCTCCAGCATCACAGGAATGGTGCAGTAATAGATGACCATTTGCCAGCCCAACTTTCTAATGATGCTCCCTCTTGGTTTTCAAATTAGCTTTGAGAGCAGATGTTATCCTGGGAATTGTATGACTGTCATAGCAGAAGAGCTGGTTTGGGTAAGCAGCCTTTTGGCCCATCACTGAAACTCAGCAGGA